ACAAGTTATTTATAAGTTCTTTGAATGTTTGCATGGCGATAAAATATAATTGTTTTTTGTTTGTGGAAACACCACGTAAAGAATAAATAATAAATTTAAAAATGCAGTAATAAATAATAATAAATTTAAATATGCAGTAATAAATTTACGTGGTGTTTCCACAAACAAAAAACAATTAAGTTATTTATAGTTCATAAATTCATCATCTTCACGTACCCATAACCCGTACTGTATTAGCTTGCTGGCAATGCAAAACTGCCCATTTACAACTGATTATACTGTCCGCAGGCTTTCCGTTTAATTTGGGAAGTACATGCACTATTACACAATTTGTATGTAAAGACAAACGGCAAAAGTAAAATTTCAGAAATGCGTTGTTGTAACATATACGAGATAAATGCGTTGGGTTTTTTTGTCTGAAATATAAATCAAAGATTATATCTACTCACGTCAGTTTTTCATAAATGGATTCTCTTGTTTCCTTTTCCGATAAACTAAATCAATCAATGTACATAAATTGTTAGAGATTTTGTTAAAATAAAGATGGGTTTCACTAAGCACTGCCATGCGGTAAATGATGGTCAACCTACAGTTTTCAAAGTAAGAAAATAATGATCAGTTTTTTCATTTTACGTAATAGTAGTATCGCCAAATTTACTCACGTCAGAGTAGTTAGTTTTTCGTCAATAGTTTCCCAAGGATCCGTTTCTTCGCCTTTCACTACTCTTCGCATAGTCTCTCTGGAAGCAGAAAATATTATACAATGGAAGTATATAATTGAAAATCTTAAAATATGTACGGACCAAACACCGCATATAATGTTAATGCAAGAACTCAAGGAAGTGTTCTGCATGTAGAATTGTAAAGCGGAAATACCTCACACCGATAATCCTCTCTTCCGCTGTCTCCCAAGGATGCCTGTCTTCCGTGAACTCTAATAATTCTTCAAAAAAGACAAGCATTTAGGAAATAGAGCAACGGAATAGCTTGACAAACCATTACCAATTAGTATATTGACCCATTTGTCTATCTGGACTGGAGCGATTCAAAAGGTAAACACTGACACACTAACTACAGGCTCAAGTCTTAGATAACACTACAAAATACAGTAATATCCGATCCTTGCAAGTACCTTTCGCCAAGTCTTCCTCACTGATATAGTCACCTTCAATATAATTCTTAACTCTGAAATTCTTCAATAAAAACATAGCGAATTACTTGAGAAGTTCTGACTCCAGATTATATACGGAGTTCAATGGGTTTCGCTTACCAAACACGGGAATCGACTGTTCTCCGTACGAGTGATAATTCGCATATTATCAGCAGCGTATTGCAGTCTTGCCATCTTCATTGATTCACCGAACGTATAGCTGAGTTGGGCGATGAGAACGTTTAACAGAATCACCATCACGATCCCCATGTAGACTAGAAGAATAGCGACCGCAAACCAGCTGAAAGCGGATAAATGTAACGCCAATTACCATCAACAAATTTGTATAGCTCGTAGTTAGATAAAACGTGGGTGTAAATTGGTGGGTTTCCCTGAGCATAATGTACTATCACGCAGCAAATGGTGGCCAACCTGCAGCTTTCCTGTATCAAAGGCCAGTAAATGGAACTAAAAGATATAGTTTTGTTTTCTTTCTTGTTTTCGTTCTTAGTTTTCTTTTCTCTCTTTCTTCAAATTTTGGGATATTTAGTTGAATTTTCTTGGTCCTATAAGCGTCAACATTTCTGAAGTAGACCACCATATGCTGCTCTGTAAGGATGTACAACACAATTATCCCAGTAATTAACATGCTGTTGTCTGAATTTTGCCTCACTCGTTTGTAAGAAGATTGACTCTATCCACCGACCTTGCACGTTTTCTCCTATGGAGAACTGAAGATTCTCTTCGACGAGTACTGTAACATCCTCCTCGTATCCAGGGCGCCTCGGCTGGCAGCACAGACGGCCGAGAAGCCCTCGGACCGAGGATGCAGTTACACTCGAGGAGTAAGAGGGGGCAATGACCATACGGAGAACAGTTTAAAAGTATGTATAAAATTACATTCCGGCATAAATATAGCAAGTTACCCAAACTCTTTGCCGTTTTCTTCTTCCAGCGTTTCCCCCTCAACAAGAACTTTGATACCACCCAACATTACCCAAGGAAAGCTAAATGTAGTTAAATAGATTTGAACAACGTTAACGACAAATCTATATGAACGCCTAACAACAACACCAAACAACATTATCATTATCATTATCATTACGGGTTGATTACATGGGGCTTTTTCAGCCAACTCAAAAAATTTTTGGATTACATGGGGCTTTGTCAGCCAAAACGAATTTCTTTTTCCAGCTAAATGGACGATTTCAGCACTGGGGTTAATGCGTGTGGACATTAGGTAACACGAAAAAAAGCTAGAAAGAAAAATATTAAATAAATCGTATATAGCGCACGAATAACCTTAGTCCTAGGGTGAGGCGATTACATGGCAAGCCAGGGTCTGAAATTTCAGCTCGGGTAGCTTAAGCAGGGCTGATATTTCAACCCCGATGTTGAACACAGCCTCGTGGCTGAATTTCGCCGTGTAATCACGCTTTTGATTTAGAAAGGATTTTATAGTAGGACAGGACGTAGATTTCAGCCCGGTCAACATGGTTGAGTTCAACCCCGGGGCTGAAATGCATAATCAGGCAAATCAGCCATTACAGCAAATAAAAACATCCCATCACTATCACCATTATACCAGAACTCAAAATCAATCACGAAAATGTTCTACTAACCTGTAAGAATCCTGTACATCGTTTACTTTCAAAGCCAGAAACATTGCTCCACAAAATCCAATCAATATTGCAGAAAAGAACACCAAAAAACGTGTGATGTCTTTTTGGATTATTCTCACAAGAGTTGTGGTATAAAGACCCGTGATTCTATAAAACAAAACAATAATTTCATGAGGAAATTGAGTGCGTTTAAAGAGTTTCTCTCCGTTACTAGAATTCTAGTTGCTGGCGGGAAAGGACAAATATTATCAGGATAAGAATATGTCATGAGTGGCCGCCATAGGCCTCGTTACGTGGCGTTTAAATTAGTAAAGGAGCCCAAAATTACCTTGCAACATTGGAAAATTTGAAGAGTCGTAGAAAATTGAATAAATAACCAATCGCAGCAAAACCCCATTGAGATTTAACTTCGGCGAAACGAAGAGGAATGACAAGAAGTGTCAGGAAAATACCGGGTAAATCAATGTAGTTGGAACGGACTTTCAAATAAGCTCTTCCTTCTCTGTAAAGAAAATGATTTTGTAAGACAATGAAAACATGAACCCCATTAATAATTGACAGTGCGCTTCCTGACGAGTGTAAAATTGTCTGGTGTACTGTAAGACAGAGTAAAATACTTACAGTAGGCATATCTGAGTGAATTGCCAGTTAATGAGTTAACAAGAGGCATTGGCTGATTAAAATTAAACCCACTATTTTAGTTTATGTACTACAGTATACATGTACGTCTGCACATTAAATTTGATACACACAAGATTTTTGAAAAATGCTCTCATGTTTATAAACAAGCTGTTGGGGAGTTTGCCTTGAACTTTATCATCAGACCGGGGTTAAACTAATCTGCTTTTGGTGTTAGACAGAGTAACATGCTAAAGCAAGCGCATTTGGGCACATTGCCAGCTAAAGGATAACAAGAGACACTGGCAGACAGTTTTTTTAACTGATGAACTGGCAGTACTCTTCCACTGACAAGCAAAGCCCAGCCTCGTACCCAGGCTCTTTAGTAATTAATAGCGTTCTGAGCTCTGGGTGAGCTTTTAGGCGTGCGGGGAATCTTGGGCTCACCCAGAGCTCTAAACGCTATTAATTACTAAAGAGCCTGGGTACGAGGCTGAGCAAATCCATGGATATCAACCTATAAGGGGGGGGGGGGCTCTATAAGCCCATTTTAAAAGGTTGAAACGACAAAATCCGAGGTAAAAGATCCGTTCTGGCGGGGATGGGGGTGTTTAAACTATGGGATAAATTCGTTAGCCATTTAATAGACAAACCTTGCCATTTCACCAATCTCATCAAACAACTGTACCATAAGAAAAACGATGCTACAGATCTCACAGATCACTCGAAATTTATCAGCAGGCCCGTCGTACTGCGTTGGATCGTTACGAGTAGAGCCGTAGATGAGGGCAAACGACAATAACCCAAAAAATAGCAAGTAGAACGCGGCCTTAATGCTAGCACAAAGAGAACATGAATGTTAGTAGTATGTATGGTATAGTTGGGTATGGTATGAACAAACTTTCGTTGGTAGGGATGCAAGTCATGCAGTTACCTGAGCGATCGTCAAAACGTCCAAATTATCCTTACCTGTATATATTTTCAGGTAGTTGCATCCCTATCAACGAAAGCTTGCTCATTTGATTGGCACTACCTACACTGGCAAGGACATTTCAAGATTATATGGTATGGTATAGTGTGGTAGGATATGATACAGTAGGGTATGTGATGGTATGTAGAATGCCATTCTTACCAAAAGAGCTCGTGGGCAAATCCATTCCATTTCTTTGCGACCAACATTCGAACGACTGGATGTTGCATAGCTTCCTATGAAAGATAAAGTTCAGTTCAGTCCATGTCCAGTCCAGTCCACACCAGCTCAGTTCAGTTCAGTCCATGTCCAGTTCAGTCCATGTCCAGTCCAGTCCAGACCACTTCAGTTCAGTCTAAGTCCAGTTCAGTTCACTCCAGCTCAATTCAGTTTAAATTTACTGTAGTTCAGTTCATTTATCAATATATCATCATTGTCAATAATCTGGCAAGTACTGTACCTTATTATCACTGTCAGCAATACGTCGAAGGCACGATACAGATTTCTGGTTAAATACTTTGTTGTCGGGCACTCTTCCATTTTCATCAGTTTCAAGGATGTGATAATAGAAATCATAGCTCAATGGATCGTTAGGAACACTTTCCAATGCTTGCTGTATCTTATACTTGTTATCATCTTCCCGATCTTCACGTTTGGGAAGATATGGCCAATGGGGGTCCATCAGTTTGTTTAATACCGCTAGAACTGTTTTCTGTCAAAATGGAAACACAGTAAAGCCCCTTACTAGGTGAAAAACGTTGAAGTGGTTAAAACTATCTTTTTATTTTGACACCAAAGATATGCGAGGAGAACTCTGTTAAACTTTGGAGACTACGTCTACGATGGTTAGGCCATCAAAGCAAGGTTCTTTCACCTGTGAGTTCGTTGGTTTAATTCCTGCTGCAGACCCATGACACTTATGTGAAAACTGTCAATTGAAAGTCGTAATCCTGCTTGGAGCAGCTCTCGGCTGCAAGTACTGTAAGGATGATTAACACACACCCATTTTACGACAGTAAAAATATGAGTCATATGACTTTTACTCATGGCATATTGCTCAAATTTTCCCCTCAAAAATTAATTCAGCATAAAAAACCTACCTTCATTCCATATTCGTTTGTCCTAGGATTACGATAGCTGATGTATTTTCCAAAAAATAACTTTGATTTTTCTCCACTTTCTTTGCAGGTGAGAAAGAGTTCTTGGACGCTTTTATCAAACAACAAAAAAGAAATTTAATGTCTGCCTAGGTGCCTACTGTACCAAGTACTGTTAGTAGCCTCTCTCATGCAGACTAAAATTGGACATTTTGGGGGTATTTTTTGTAAACGACGTGAAACATCTAAACGATATGAAAACAATTTTTCTAAATATTTAACTTACTGTAAATTAATTCATGATTATATGTACAACTGTAGCTACAAAAAGTCACATATTCACTGCTTACAATTGTTGATCTGAACAGGGCAGCACCCCACAAATGGCGGTGTTAGAAATATAGACGGATTTTCATATTTTCATCTCTGTCATTAAAAATATTCTTACTCTTAGAAATACCATTCATCCCATTAAAAATATTCTGGCTACAAAATCGGTTCAGTGAGTAGACCACTTCCAAATTACGCTGTAGACCAGAACCAGGTTGGCTCAATTAATGTTAAATTCATGAAATTACAGTTTCGCACAGAGCCTTGTTTTCAAGATAGCATGATCCTTAGTTGATGAAATCCCTAATTTGGAACCTGATGTATCTATTGAATCTAAAAAGAATGCGCTGTCCAGTCCTTTTCAGATCAGTGGTGCAGGCCTATTCATGCCTAGAGGTACAGTACAGGTTATCACTTACCGATCATACTTCATCTGTGATATTAGATAGGCAGCAGTGTCGTCTTGGAAATTTTCTAAGGCAACCTCCACAGGTAACACACTGGGCATTTCTTCAGGCTCGATCGTCGCCTTTATCGGTTGGTACATAAGGGATGGCCAACGCTCAACCAACATCCGAGAGACATGTAGAAAATTCTGTTCAGCAGCACGATGGAGTATTGTGGGTTCCCAAGCACATTCTTCATCAAAAAAGAATTCATAACTCTTATCTCCTTTTAAAATTATCTCTGCCAAACGACTGATCTAAAGTTTGAATTTAATTTTTTTTATTATCACCAATGAAAGCTCTTCCTTTGCTTTGCCTCAATTTGCCCTCAAAGCAATGAAGGCAGCCGACAAGCCCTGCGTCCCTTCTGTATAATGAAGCAATAACCATTGCAAATTGTATGCTTCAACTGCCTTTAGAATTATGCTTATTATTATTTCTTACCAAAAACTCTAAACTGGGTATCAGCTTTCGGTTCACTTTATATTCTGGAAGCTGTGGCCACTCGCGTATTATGACCAACAGAGGATCAACACCACCAGGTTTGTTGCTTTGTTCAATCAGCTTTTCTGCTTTGACTTCATCCACAGCTCTGCTCCATGATATATCAAGATCTTTAACTTTACCTTCAACCTGAATGTTTGAGGATAATATAAATCATCCATTGACAATGGAGTGGGGCTGTTATCATATGAAATATACCATAAGCAGTGGTGTGCTGGCAGAGAGGGCTAGAGAACCATGCCCACCCCCACAGGGGGAAATTTTTGGAGGGCACAAACATGGCAAAAGGTGCCAAATTATGAGCTGAAGTATAGGCAAAAATGCATCAATTTCAAAATATGGCTGCTCAGGTGCTGTGTAACCTGCACATTGCAGATGTGTTTTATTGACATGAAGAAGCATGACTCATCACATTCAGTGGGCTATGGAGGCTACAGTATGGCATATGCCACTGATCATAAGAGTAGATTTAATAGTGAAATAGATAGCAGTGTAGATGCATCCTACCAGAGAAAGGGTATCGCATGCTAGTTATTAACCCATTCCCTAATGCACTTGTCAATTTCTTTGCCTGAGGGGTACAAGGACGAGCATACCTAGTGGGTAATTTGACAATTTCGATCACCTCCTTGTCAAATTACCTATCTAAAAATGAGTTGTACAGGTATTGGACAAATACTGTCAAATGTCCCCACCTGGGGGTTGAAAAATCCACTTGTATACATTTTAAACTACCATAATTATATAATATCAAAATAGACCAACTACTAGAGCCTCTCCCGATTAATTGATCAATTGATTATTTTTCCACAATCGCGTATTATCAGTAATCGGATCATCTATAACACCACACAGCGTGATGCAGGAATGAATTTCCTTTATACTGACTGGTGAGTGGTCACCACCTTTCTCACTAACAAGTTCCCAGACCCACACTCTTTCCGGTCAAATAGCCCCGCATACAATCTCCTTCCCCGAGCCTGCGATCCTCGGGAAGGAACATGAGGCTCTGGGATAATCCGTTTCAGGGAGGAATCTGATTGGCCGTTGATATGGAATGCGCAGTGCAATCTTAGCCAGGATTCCTGGCTTCCGGCAACGAATTATCCCAGAGCCTCACGTTCCTTCCCGAGGATCGCAGGCTCGGGGAACAAGATTGCCCCGCATACGGAACATAAAATTATTGTGACAAATTCCCGGCCTTGGGAAGACATTGACAAGTGCATAACACTGATAAGTTAAATTGCAGACTAAAATAATCTGACCTCACACAGTCATAATATAATACAAAGGAAGGGTGCACTTGGGCACATTGCTAACTAATGGTTATAAACAGATCACATACATCATTTAAAGCGTTAATTTTTATGTAAACAACGTTTTCCAATAAACTCCGGGAATAAAATAACCTTTTCTGCTCTACTTATATATGTAAAGGACACCCAGGGAATCAACACAGAAAACAAAATAAGCACATGAATTACATTCAGTTATTTCATATATGCTATAATCTTACCTTATTCCAGTCGTCTCTATCGAGTTCTGGTAACTCAAAATTTGAAGCTTCCGCCATTTCTTTCTCTTCCGTTGGAACTAAGTTATAATCTGACATACCAATTTGTTGTTAAAATATCATGCTCAAAGCTCCAGGAGTCCTCCTCTTCGCCAGTATTTGAAAGGTGTGCCTTTCCCTAAAAAAATGGAATATATTTGAATATATTTGAGCATAATTGTTACATTCTTTGACATTCGAGTTTCTTCGATTTGTTTTCCGAGTCACTGATCTTGAATTGACTGGACGTGCATGAAATTAACTGCTCGAACACTGACCTCAGCTGTTATCCTGTTAACTGGAGGGTACATCTGATCTCAAACACATCATATTTCATGACGGCATAGACGCTGATCACGTGATCTGCTAAAATCTAGCAGATTTTTAATTAGCAATCCAAGATGAGGTCAATAAATATTTTGATATTTGGATAATTTTTATAATTTAATTACTAATTTGCATTTTGTATAAATAAATCAAAGATATTTTCTGTTGATGGTTCTAATGTTACTCCACACCGGGAAAGCTTGAAAAATATGCCTGGCCACGGTGGGAATCGAACCTACGACGGAGTACGACCTTTGGAATACTAGCCCAATGCTCTTCAATCATCTGGTTTCTTGCACCCCACTTGGTGGTATTAATATTTGAATGCTGTTCTTAGGGTTTGTAATCCAAGTGAGTATATATATACATTTTAAGACCTGACCAGGAACGACTGCGAAAAATGCAGCACAAGGTCCTCTGGTAGGACTTGAACCTACGGCCATGCGATTCCGGTGCAGCGCTCTAACCAACTGAGCTACACTAACCAACTGAGCTACAGACCAGCTGTTGAGCTGTAACCGTAATTTCTGTGTTGGTGTAATGTACTTAGGTGAATATGATGCTTGTGATGTTATCTGATACTACGAAATATCACATACTCGAATCGACCAGACCACGTAGCTCAGTTGGCACTTGGCACAGCATTGGGCTAGTATTCCAAAGGTCGTAGGTTCGATTCCCACCGTGGCCAGGCATATTTTTCAAGCTTGCCCGGTGTGGATATACACTCAGAGTAACATCACAAGAAATCAAAGATAGTTAATCAGAAATCTGCTAGATTTTTGTTAGGGTGCAGCACGCTGGGTTTCGAAATTATCTAAGGCCTGATTCCACGATGGCGAAATTCCTCGCGCGAAATCGTGTCTGCCAAAAATTGGATGGCTGTACACGAGTGATTCTATTGAATCTGCACACTTTATTTGCTTTCGCAGTGAGTAGAACTGCCTTCTACGCACTGGCGAAGCGAATTTTTTTCTCGCGAAGCCTAATTTATCTTTACTGCCCATGCACGATTTCATTTCGTGCGAAATGTTTCGCATTTCGCCGAGAAAAAGCGCTCATGGAATCAGGCCTTTAAAGGTCCAGTGGTCCAGACACACCGGACGCGATTCGACAACGCGACTTTTTGATTTTCAAGTGACCGATAAATAACTTTCATCTGATCTGTGTGTTTCATTGATATGTTTAAACATAATACACAAAGATAAATAAATAAACTTTATATTAATTAAACGATGTTTGCATCACCAAATAGACCCACAGTTTGAATAATAATTAGCACTTGAAAAACAACCAATCAGAGCCCGACTTTCGCTGGTGTTTCCCAGAGCCTCAGCAAGCCTCCACAGAGGATTGCGGGCTCTGGTTTCGAGATTGCTGCGTGCTAGACCGCAACCTCGTTCCCAGGCGCCTGGGAACGAGGTTGGCTAGACTGTTAGCTTAGAACCTGCCTGCCATGGGGGCTTTTGCTGTACAGTTCTCTACACCCCCTTTCGTGTCTGTGGGCTATTTTGCTGTGGGCTATTTTGCTGTGTGCTATTCCCTCAAGTTTGTTGCATGGGTGCTACATTTGCCGTGTGTGCTATATATGATATTTGCTATTCCCTCAATTTTTTGCTTTGTCCTTTATTTGCTGTGTGCCATTCCCTAAATTTGACTGTGTGCTATAGTTGCTGTGTGCTATTCCCTTAATTTTGGTTGTGTTCTGTTTGTGCTGTGTGCTATTCCCTCAAATTTTGGCTTTGTGCTATATTTGCTGTGTGCCATTCCCTTAATTTGGCTCTGTGCTATATTTGTTGTGTGCTATTCCCTCAATTTTGGCTGTGTGCTGTTTCCTCAATTTTGTCTGTGTGCTATATTTGCTGTGGGCATCAGGCTATTCAGTCCCTCAATTTTGGCTGTGTGCTGCTTTCGCTTTATGTTGTTTCCTCAATTTTGGCTGTGTGCTGTTTTTGCTTTTTGCTATTCCCTCAATTTTGGCTGTCTGATAATTTGCTGTGCGCCATTCCCTCAATTTTGACTGTGTGCTGTTTTTGCTGTGTGCCATTCCCTGAATTTGGCTGTGTGCTATATTTGCTGTGTGCTATTCCCTCATGTTTGGCAGTGTGCGATATTCGCTGTGTGCTATTCCCTCAATTTGCCTGTGTGCTCTATTTGCTGTGTGCTATATTTGGCTTTGTGCTATGTTTGCTGTGGGCTATTCCCCCAATTTGGCTCTGTGCTATATTTGCAGTGTGCTATTCCCTCATATTCGGCTGTGTGCGGCTGTTTTTGCTGTGAGCTATTCCGTCAATTTTGGCTGTGTGCGATATTCGCTGTGGGTGCTATTCTCTCACTTTGACTGTGTGCTATATTTGCTGTGTACGTACGACTATTCCATCAATTTTGACTGTGTGCTATATTTGCTGTGTGCCATTTCCCTCAATTTGTCTGTGTGCTATATTTGTTGTGGGCTATTCCCTCCATTTTCGCTGTGTGCTAGCTATTCCCGCAATGTTGGCTGGGTGCTTTATTTGCTGTGTGCTATTAATACCCTTAGCTTGGTTGTGTGCTTTTTTGCTGCGTTGTTTGCTGTTTTTGCTATGTGCTATTCCTTTAGGCTTAGCTGGCTGTGCGCTATGTTTTGCTGTGTGCTATTCCCTTAGCTTGCTTGTGTGCTGTTTTTGCTGTGTGCTATTCCCTTAGCTGGATGTGTGCTATGTTTGCTGTGTGTTATTCCCTTAGCTTGCTTGTGTGCTGGTTTTGCGGGGTGTTTGTTTGCCGTTGGCGCGTTCTCCTTCGCGTCGGCATGCCGTACGGCCTTGTGTTCGCTATCTGGTGGACTGATCCGAGAGGGGGATACTTAGAAAGACCTGCATACTGCATGTACTGTCTACGACGGGTATCTCGAGTTGTTCTGCCTGGTGGTGTTCAATTGGCCGTTGTTTCTTTGGGTTTCTTTGGCTCTGCGCAAGTGCGTAAGGAAAAAATCTTATCCCAATCTAAATTCCCTTCCGCCCGGCATTGGAGAGTGAGAAGACCACTGTGAATATTACTATTCACTATTTCACAGTGGAATTGAAAGTTAAAATGCAGGGCCGGAAGGAGGATTGAGGTAGTTTAATGACTTTTACGCTCCCTTTAGAATTAGTGAAGGCCCTAGGGATCAGGGGCCGGCACTTTTTTAGTCACTATTTTGTAGTTAAATAGTGATTAACTCTAAAATACGCGCGTCTTATTGGATGACGTTTCCACTAACTATAGTTAATTTTAATCACTTTTTTATACAACCGGCCCCTGGAAATCAAATAAATATGGGTAGTTGTAACTTGTAAGTATGGAGAGTGAGAAGATCACTGTGAATACATTATTACTGAAGTCAATAATCAATAACAATGGCCGTTGGGGCAGACTCACGGATAAGATCAAATGAAAGTGACAGAAAGAATCAGAGCAGTTAACGTTACCCTGCATGGCAGGCCGTTCCTAAAATTGGGCAAGCCTATTTTAGACCGCCTGCCATGCAGGCTAAGTTAACGTTTGCAGTTGTTTTTGCAAATCGGGCACCGTGCGAATTTTGCCATTTCTCCAATTTGTCGTGCTTCATTTGCCAAGTCAAAAGAACGAACGCCTGATCCAGCCCGATTTCCGGTTCTGAAAGGCCGATTTGCAGGCAAACAGTGCGCGCAAAGCAGGCTGGTCATTTCCCATTGTTTAACTGCCACTCCACATTCAAGGAACCATAAAGACTAACAGATGTTGCTTCGCAAGATCCGTGAGTCAACAAGTGGACAGTGATTTGTATGCACGAAAATAACAACCAATCAAACGGCGACTGTTAATTAGATTATCAAAGCTGATTTAAAATATGACAATAACGGTCAATTTTTCCGCCAAATTATCGAAATACGGCCAGGAATTACATACTAAATAATAAGAACGGTTATTGACCGTGTTTATAGACAGCAAAGTCAGTAATTATTGTAGCCACAAGTACGTAATATCATACTAGAGAGGTTAAGATACATGTACCCCGGCCCGGTTCCAGTTTACGGGTACGGGTGATAAACACGTACCCGTACCCGTAAATCGGGGAACGACTTGTAACTTAAGAAATACAAGATATTCCGGCGTGAGAAAACCGATCAGAGAATGGTAACTTTCGCTGTTGCATTATTTATGAGCATATGAGCATATGTGGGTAACAGATGTTGAAGTTTTTTACTATTTAAACAACCCACAACTAGCAAACAGACAACACCATTACACCAGTACCCGTTTGTCTTTTACGTGTAAACCATGGTTTACCGCGGGGAAACGGGTAGAAATCACGGGTAAAAATGGTGGTAAGCAAAATGGCGATACTCGTACCCGTAAACCGGGGTATCTTAACCTCTCTATTACGTAAACAACAACTTGACATTACCTTAAAAGGGAAGGCTATTTATTTCTGACCAATGGGAATTTTGCTGACGATTTGTACGCATATAAAGCCTGACACGCAGGCTAGGTTGGATATAATTGTCAAGAGCACAGATCAAAACATATTACTGGATGATAAAACTTAATATCCAAGTGTACACTGGATGCATTAATTGCGATCTCACATGTAGTTGATGGAAATATTAGTTCAACTGACCCCCAAAACATAACTGGATGACGAAACTGATCTATATAATACCCAAACACTGACCTATATTCACTGATCTATATTATTCTTATATACTTATACCATTGAAGTATTGAACTGAACTTATACAAAAATAAAAACGGACACGTGCTCAATAGACTCCCTTAATCGTCTTTTGTATCACAAATTTTTCTTTAACAAATTTCTGCACGCAGTATTGCACATGGCACACACATCGGCATTACTGGGTTTCACCACGTGTTACAGGGCATCAGATAGTTGTCAACACAGGAATGTTAACTCTTATAGGGACAAGAAAATTTTAAAACTACATCTCTCAAATCCATATGTTTGCCTTCATATACACGACTACACTGCACCTACCATGTATAATGAAAAAGAATTATCATTATTTTCTCACTTTAATAACAGTGGCTTGACCACCATTTGCAACATAAAAAGGTCGAGCTGTTCATGTCGAGCTATAGTTGTCGCTATAGTCCTAATTTTTTACTTGTTCAAATACCCAAGAACCATTTAGAATATTTGCACATTGTAACCAAGAACCTACCAGGCACGCGTTGGCGCAAGGTTTGCTGTGCTCCTTTGCTCGAGCTGGCTGGACCCACCATTGCAATTAATGCCATAATACAATCCTGCGAGCAAAGGTCTTTACGGAGATTAATTGTAGCGAATAGTTTGCCTGATTAACAATAATAGCAGTTTCTCCAAGTCAAGATTGTAGTAGTGATTATTCAGAGTATTTCCGCATTGTAACCAAGAGTCTGCCAGGCAGAGATTGGCGCAGCGGCACATTTGCAGCCAGTGAAGTGTTCGGTATATTCCCTTGCTGGAATATTCCCTTGCTCCACCACTGCTAGTATATAGGCTTGCGAGTAAATGTCTCAAGGCTTATATCCAATATTAGTTAGTTTGTCTGAATAATCTGTCTTTGTAATCCGACAAACGGATGATGCATCTTCACGAAAGATCCGTTTGCATTGCAAATCAGACCATAAATGTCAAAACATTAGCTTATACAAAGTTTGTATACAAACGCCTACTAGAGGTGTGCATCGGATCGGACGTTTATAATCCGACAATTGGCTAATGTTTAAAATCCGATCCGAAAATGTCTAATCTGAATCCGATCCCAGTTTTGATAAAGAATTCCGATCCGAAGAATCCTTTAATAAAATAAATTTCTCATTCAAGTGGAAATATTTAACCAAATAAATATAAAAGCAAGAAATACATGTCATGCAAGAAGCTGACAAAGTGACGTCCAATTGAATTACCAAACGATTAATGCAGAGACAACCGCGTTGTCGTGGATAATTAATTCATTTTATTTCGAATATCGAAGTCCAATCCAATCCGATCCGATTACGAAACAACTTTATCAATCCGATCCAATCGAAATGAATATTTTTGTTCCGCAATCCGAACGAATCCGATCGGATTCGGATCGGATTTGCACACACCTACAGTAATATCTATACGAGCATGTCTTTTCGATGCGATACTATGTTTGCAATGGTTGGATGTTCGCCGTTTTGATTTGCTAACCTCATGTTTGCATCTGCTTATCCTACCGCCCATAGTCAATTCCAAATTCTCATCTGTCATCCAATCCATTTCTTCAACTTTAAAAATTCATTGCCATCATATCTAAAAGAATTAACTCAATGAACTTCAATGCCCCATATACTCAGGAAGTGATATTTTACTTTGAGAAGGGTTGAATCTTGCACATGAATGAGTTAACGATGCCAAATACTCTATATTGCAGTTATGCATTTGCTAGGTAACTGCACTATTCACTAAGATGTTATCTTCGAAAACCAATGGCAATGCTATAGTGAAATAGGTCTGATATTATACCTTGCTGTGATTCTTCAAAACAAATGCATAACAGCGGAACGAAATACCTTTGCTGGTTGACTTGATGTAAACTTTTCAAATGGAAATTAAGGTCTACATCAAGCTAATTCCATAACATTAGCAACTATCTAAACTGATTCTTTGGATACAACGCTTGCAATACGTGACAAATTTGCGCACTGCCTGCTATCTTACACGCGCAAACCTGAGGATGCTGGAACAAATCCAATGCCATGGCGATTTATTCCATCACAGCAAGTCATATTGGAAATTGTGACACTCGCACGAAGGCCTATTGTTGGGTATCTTTTCAACGATCCAATTTTGTGACAACTTGCCATGTTATGTAGAAATGTGGGCACAGAAAAATGATGTGCGCACAAAAAATGATGAACGCAGGATACGCTCCCCTAGGATATGAACTCGTTCATTTCTTTGGCGTCATTTCACCAACACTTACGCCTTCTGGACGTCAGGACGTACTGTATATTTAGTAAGAAAAATATCGGCAAAGTACAACGAGATTTACAGTACATCTAACATCCCACTGTGTCCAAAATGTCATTACAAGTTGCAGTAAAAATTGCCTCATGTATCATGGACTTAAATCGAGTTTCGTTAAAAGGCCTTTTGTTAAATTAGGAAGGCATTCGTATCGAGGGAGGCATTCATATCGAGGATGGCTCGACGTTTTGAGCGAAGGCCCTCAAACTATCAATGTAACTAGTTTACCCACAAGGTAGTGAATGCTGTCTAATTGGTATAGTATTGTAATGAATTGGAATCATCCATAATTTATACATCAACATTTTCAAAAACGGCCAATTAGACCAGGGTTAAAAGGGCAATGACAATGACATGCAGGTGACATTTAACATGTGAGACTGTGCGTCTCACTAAATTTGCGTGTTTAATAATAATGTTTATCAAAGAAGGCAAAAATATATACAAAATAACCTCACATGTGGAATTTGTTCACTTACGTACTGCCTTGTGATGCAGTACTACAACTACAAGTATAAATACAAATGACAGTCTTGACAGAGCATTTGTAAATCCTAAAACATAATTAAATCATACGGCACATTCAAGATTTTAATATCGTATTTCAGCCGCGTTTATACTGCTTGGCGCATTCGCTGCGTTATGGTTATATTCATTTATATATACACAGATTTATTACTAATAAATCAACACTATTTGATAATATATATAGAACTCACAAAGTGCATAAATAAACCTTTTTAAAGCATGTCATTCACTCATTGTCATTGCAGACCAGAGGCAAAAAGCATTTGTCAACGACATACCAAATTTAAGCAATCGTTAAATCATATACATGTTATGGAAAGAATGTGGAAATAATGTTGAATGAAAGTATCGCGTATAATGTTAAAAACACCGCGTATAATGCTCGAACCACTGCGTATAATTGCAAAAGCACCGCGTATATAAATAGTGAAAGCACCGCGTATAATGACGAAAGCACCGCGTATAATGCTGGAACCACCGCGTATAATGGCGAAAGCACCGCGTATAATGCCGAAAGCACCGCCGTATAATGCGAAAAGCACCCAACAAAATGCCGTTTGATCACTTTAAGCCAGCTATGGCTTTCAATAACTGAGAAGACCAAAGATCACGGGTACCGTCATGCAATGCGCGAAATAGAAAATTTTGATTTCGACCCACAAAACAAAATTAGGATCTGCTGCCTTGCTCGCTCGCGGCTCGCTTCAGGTTCAGGCTCGCTCGCTGCGTAGGGACTTATTTCATTTTCATGACTGGATTGACTGCGTAAAACTCGTCACGATACGCATATCAACCTGGTGCACAATTCAAAAATTGAAAAAAGCGCACCGCGAAAATGTATAACGTGGGCTCAAAATACTCGTGACGTCATCGAGCTATTAGGTCCTTGTAAGACGCTCCATGAACAACGCCTTCTTAGCTTCGTTCAAGGCTAAGCAAACTTTACATGAATTTCTTTAACAAGGATTTTAACGGTCCTTTATCTGCTATATAGAGGTGTATAATTCATATTTTGGTTCAGGTGAAAGGTAAGAGGTGCTAAATTGAATTATAACCCCCTATAAATGTTCACTGTATTATACGCATCGAATATCAACGCTGAAGGTAATTTGCTTCTCTGAAGAAGTTTAAGTGTCTTATACGATGTATAAATACGAAATAATAAAATACTATTATCCTTAAATGACAGGGTATGTTAAGTGAAACGCACACAATTGCCTCTCAAATGTCACAATATATGTTTTAAGATGGTCAATAACAAATTGTACAAAATTCCTAATTGAACTTCAGGAATCCGTTATAACCATTGACTGTTTTCAATCAAACAAATCATTGACAGCGGAGCATACAGTAAGCTTCTATTGGTACAATGTACACAATGGTGTTGCAACTGTGTTGCTATATGTCAATACCAACTTCAGAGCAAGTGTATAAATCAAATCCCAAGCTTAATGGGCATTTTTCGTTCAATAAAATCAGTTAGGATGTAAAGCTTCAATGGGTTTGAATAGCATGAGTTGGTTATGGCAATTATTTGAAATTTGCATTAATGGACTAACATTCTTCTCTTGATGAATAAAATCATCTGGCATTAGATGAAGTAATATAATAGTGTACAGGACACATTGAGGGTTAATAATGTGCTAACCCATTAGCTAATTGCACTGCACCCAGAAGTACTGTACCTACTTTAATGTTTCACTCTGTGTAATGGCAGAAAATTTACTTGCAGTGTTTAAGGGTACCGACAATTAATGGTTAACAAAACTATCTGCCAGTGTCTCCACCCTAGTGTTTTACTCTGTCTAACAACTGATGGTTTTACTTGTCAATTGCGGTTGTTGTGAATTCGAAAAATTCACCGCAATTATACTTTTTTGAAACAGGAAAATGGGAAATAAACCAGTTAAAGACGACACCAAATCTCAGGCGGCAGTTAAAGACGACACCAAATCTCAGGCGGCAGCAAAAACAAGAAAGCCAAAGGGATCAACAAAACATGTGAGCTTACTAGTTCTACACAATAAACCTCAACGACCGGAAATGATACACTTTTGTAGAGCGCTGAATGCATACCCACCACCAAGCAGCATGGCCATCACCAATCCTCCACAACTTGACCAACAGTCCGACAGTGACTTCAAGTTTTCAAAGGTACCGGACGAGGGTCTGTTTCCAGAATCTGAGAAAAATAGTATTGAAACATGGGTATCAAAACAACTAAACAAAGGTCACATTATTCTCATCTGTTTGCTGAAAGATTATGACCTAGAGTCGCTGAAGAAAGGCATCATTTTTGAAAACAACAAACAACTCATTGTGTTCTGCTTCAAAAACCCTCCGATAAACAGAGAGGACTGCATTTGCATAGATGTGGATTTCGAGATAGCAGAACCCCAGGACATTAGAGATAACATGAAGGATCTTGCCAATGCAATCAAGGACGAAACATTGTCTTGAGTTGGGACATACAGTAGAAAATAACATTTGACAGTACAGGTAGTTTAAGCCATATCCTGCCATTGTTGGGAACATTTGTTTTATTTGTTAGTAAATACTAAAGTAAAGTAAATTTATTTAACTATGTACAGTACAATGGAATAGTCTACAAAGTAGACTTAAACCATCATAATGATTATTTAATTTTAATTAGTCAAGTGGTGTAAAATGATCTACTGTACTGTAATTACAGTACCCTAGCATAGGGGTGCACAGGTTAGTCCTGGCCAGAACCCTGATTTTTCAGAGTTCCGGTTCTGGCTGGAACTAATAAAAAAGCATGGCTGGAACAGGAACTCTGTCGTTTTCAGAGAGATAGAATATCAAACGTCTAACTGGTTCACAGTAGGAAGAAATTTGGACTACACAAGGAAAATGTACATTATTAACACTTCATTATGACATTTAACGTCTGTCAATCTTTTTTGTGGACTTATCTCGCAGACTTCAGCTGAAAAGCCACTCAAAAATGGCGGCGTGAGAAAGGCTAATTGAATTGAATTTTTTTAGTTAAGGTGTACATTTGGTGAAAACGAGGTCCTGCTGAGGAATCATCCAATCCTAGGCAGGAAAATTACAAGCTAATTAATCTGAGCCAATGCATTAGCTGGCAATGCGCCCACTTTTAGCATTATACTGCGCTTAACTCTGCACAAGTGGAATTTAGTCTGCCAGTTAATGGGATAACAAAACTATCAGCCAGTGTCTCTTGTGAACCCATTAACTGGCAGTACTCTTCCACCGACAAGTAAAATTCAGTTGAATAGTACAGCCAGTTAATAGGCTAAAAAAATTACGGGAACCACCGAGTATTTTAATAAAATATAAAACAACGGTAACTCCAAAAATATTTATTTTAGCTAAACCAACATGGCTAAACAAACATCCCCACCCTTCCCCCTCACCAATCCAAAACCTGACAAAAAAAAACCCAATTTTTTCATACCTCTTTATGAATCAACCAAAATATCTTGCTTGTTATATCCTGTATAAATTGTTTCATTTATTACTGGTAATTATCAGTTTAAAACTATTAAGTTTTAAAGCTGTACAAACCTCTAAAATGTTCGGTTACCATGAAAGTCCATCACAAATGAAATTAGACTTCTGAGTTCTGTGGTCTGAACACAAGTCATCAAAATTTAACAGAAAATATCGTTGCTTTAAATGCATTTTCTGTCCTGTAAATTAAACTAGACGTTTCCCGTTTCTTCCAAAATGTAAATGAGTACCTTCTGCAAAACAGAATTGAGAAAAAACTGTATAATTCAAGACTTTTTTCTTTGCAATTTAAACGAAATTGAATCCAACAGCCACCATTTTGCGGCTCATTCTTGCTTTGAGGTCAGCTGTCTTTCACGTACTTCATATATAACTCCAATATGAATACATCAACCATGCGACACCAATTCCATCATTTTCCGAGTATGTTTTAGATATGATAATATCAGTAGTTTTCCAAAGTCTGTGATATGATAAAATTCCACAAAAGAATTTTTCATGGTAGGCAACTTGTACACAACCACTGGTTTTACTAGCTTGTTGGTTCGAATGTTTAACAAATGCTATGCAACGTTGTTGCTAATTAAATTAATTTAATCAAACACAGCTAGTTTATATATTAAATAGATTGGCAAACTGTTCAATGTGCCAGCAATGGCCTCCAGTAAAGTGTATTTTTAAATTGTATTATAACACAATTTGCCCTTATGCAAGTCTATAATATGTCTGCAAGACATACTCTGTCAGAAAACAATGCACCGCTTCAGGTATATTCCTTTCCAGTTTTTACCACGGATGTGTACTCAATGGTTATTACTCTGTGGAAAAACCCCCACAGCCATACGGTTCCTTGGCTCCACATTCATTAGAATGTTTGTCAATCACATTCTAAAAATGCCCAAATTTTTGACAATGCCTTTTGCATGGTAAGTAACTGATTGGTTTTACAGTGTAATGAGAACTATATAATTGAACTATAATGAAGTATAATGAACGTCATATAATTCTGATACACCGCCTTGTTATAACCAACAACCATATAGTTAACAACCAACTGTTGACTGTTCACTGTATGTACCAGACATTTTGCTCTTTGATTTGATTTATTAAATAATGATACAAGGAAAATTCAATTAGCATTACGCCAGTAATATTTTAATATATCGAACTCATAGCTAGAATGAGTTTAACGTTATGTGGTAAGGTGGCAATGTGTAGAGCTCAACATATGTGGCACACATGTGAAACTGATTTTGGTTTATTACTGTATAATATGGAACCATAATTGTGAAGTACCAGTACAATAACTAACAAGCCTGCACGACCAATATTATGGTCAGGTACGGTGTCAGCGTCGGTCAGGTGTGCAAAAACAAATTTCCCCTGAAAAAATATTTTGTACTTGTTGGGCTGACTATTTGATGTCAATTCAAGTTCTCTTAAAGTTAAAAGAAAGAGATTGTTCCAGGGCGTAAAAAAGAAAAATACACCCCAGAATTGCTCGTGTAATAAGGCGTAGCTTGCAATTGTGAAATAACATACACATATGCGCTTACACGTTAACACCAGACGTGCATTCCTGTTTTATCGTGGTTAGTTTCAGACATCATGAATTTGGCTTTGAGTCCGTTCAGCAGTGCCATTATCCTGTTTGCATTTTCTCGTGCAAAGGTATTATTTACAAGTCTGGAAACCAAATTTTCCTCCCAACCTTTTGTTTTGCATTTTGAACGTTGTTCATGTTTTTTGAAAATTACAAAAAACTGTAACGAGTACCCTGTAGCGTGTTACAATTGTAACGAGTATTCACAGCCCTGGGCATACAACTCTAGAACAACACGAGTTTATGTATGTTGAGTGTTG